ATCAGCGGAGGAACAAAGAAGAGCAGGTGCGTTTTTCCAGAGCCAGATCAACGGTTGAAAATAACAAGCACACAGATGATGAATTTGTAATACTTGGCCAGTCATTCGTTTCTAGCAAGGGCTGCTAATTTCTGACAAAAATATTGCACTAGCTGCATGATTATAGGCACATCGGAATATCAAAACGCTGGACGCTTTGAATTTGTTCTAAATGGCAAGAAATGAAGCTGAGATAGACCTCGGTGAAAAACGAACGCACTTTAATTATCATTCTTAGTGATGTTACACTACTGCTCTGAATGACTACGAATATAAACAATGATTGTTTTTGGAGCCCATCTGGACGTATGAATCCATGGTACACGTGATATCAGCACTTAATCACTTACTGCTTTCGAATATTGAACCGATGAATGCAGCACGTTGGAGGCATCTGCTTCTTTTGCCCATGAATTAAATCGTGAATTATTTTGTGAAACCGATATTTTTGCTCATTAGGACATTTGCGCTGAATTTTCCGACAAGTTATTAAAAACTCACAGTGAATAATTAAGTCAGCGTATTTTTGTCTGGATCCCTTGAATTATAATGATCTTTTGTCGTACCTGGCTGTAGTAGGTACTGAAATTTTAAATCCATTGATTTTTGCGCTTTCTAGTTGTAGGATTAGCTTGAAATTGAGGTGGAAATCATGTGATAAAAAACAGCAAAGCTCTAAGATTGATGCTCTGTGGGCTGAACCTACAAAATTTTCACTGCATAACTTGTCGTCGCTTTGAAATTAAAATATTAGCGTTAATATTGATACTGTGTCAGCAGAAAGTGAGGATTGAAATTTGATTTCAGTATTCAGCACGCACTGTGCGACGGATTATTCAAGTACAGAGGAGAGCCGTTAATACAAAACATTTAAACGGTAACGCTTTTGTTCCCGATCATACGATTTGTGTAAAGACAAATCACAGAATTGCGCATTTTTGTTTGGCAAAGAAAATGGGTTAAATTTTTGCCCATGCCACTCCTAGGATTTCAGGATGATTCCAGTTACAGGAATTTCACGTCTTTCTACTAAATTATATAACAGTTTTGTGCGGAGCTTGAACAATCTGCAAAAAATGCAGTTTTATCTTCTGGATTTGGCCTTCAAAAAAATTACTGATTGTAGTTTAACTAAGCTTGAATATGATGGGTTGAGAAAAAGTCCTTGCGGTTTACATGAACCATCAACTACAATTAATTTTCCACTAGTTTCGGGGTCCTCGTTAAAAGCAGTAAGAATACAATTGCCAGATTATGGTGAGGGTGGACGAAGTGCAGGTATAGTAATTCCGTGTCCTTTTGCTTGTGAAAAAAATTTTTTAGCTTTATAAAACGCGTTTTTGGACTTCCTAATTTATTCTTGTTAAATTTACAACACACCAGTGTATTAAATTACTTCAGGATGGAGGTATAAATCAGAATTCCACCGGTGCGACGGAAGCACCTGCATGAAAACCTTTTTGTGAACTGTGTGAGTAAGAAAGGCTCAAAGTAGAGAACGATATAATGCCGGCTGCGTTAACTGATGAGCGAAAAACAACGAGGCTGATAAAGCAGCATTTGATCAAAATATCAGTGTTTAATTGGTTTGCGTCTTCTTTCCAAATGCACTTGTTTATTTGCTTTTGGTTGCGCTTCACCGTTCATTGTTTTGAGTTTGTCCGTTTGTTTTATATTGGTTTTAACTGCTTTTCACCCGTGCTCTACAGCATTTTTGTTGCTGTTTGCTTGATCGACTCTCGAAATTCTGATGCATCCTGTTATTGTTTCATTTTCTACTTAAATCAATTTTTCAGAAATTTCTTGTGGTTTTTTTGTGATTTATTCTCTGCATTCTTTCACCCCGATTTCGTTCCTGTGCTTCAACATCATTCCTTTCTTTTGAATTTGATGATATCAGCG